GTTGAGAAAAGAAAGTTCACCTTTGATTAAGTCCAAAAATCATTTAAAAACTAATACTTATAAAGTTGAATAATTAGACTATGCAATATAAAAATCTTTATTCACTTATTTACTCACCCACCAAATATTAAAATTTCGAATTTCAATCATCTCCATGCATATATAGTTTAAATGACTTTAATTTTTGTTATCAAATAATATTGTTATCCAGAATGAAAATAAATGTTGACTAAAAAATAATAAACAAAAGCAATCTCGATTATTTCTTGTTTATTAAAATTAATCTACCTCCAAGCAATTAAAAAAAAAAAAACAAAATTATGATCCATCTTATTACAAATTAATCATCAAATTAAAACCCTCTGTTATTATAGTTAAAGAAGCATAAAGAGCATAAACCGTTTCTATACTTGAATAACATAGGGGTGTACCGTACAGCACTCACGTCAAGTTCAATGACCCCAATAAAAGCACTGACACATAAGCAACACAAACAACGTCAGAGAGTCAGCACGTTGAATCGGTCGAATACGCTCGACCCGTCTACTTCTTTTTACCTCAGATCGAACGATTACCCGCGCGACTCTAGCAGCGCAGTCTGAAATTCGAATTATTTCTATAAAGAGAACCCCTTACTTTACTTTCCCGTCAGCTCCTTCCATTCTATTTTCGGTCAGTTTCCGTGGAAAGATCCCCTTTTTGCTATGGACCAATAGCATGCTTTTCTTATAAGGAGTACGATTTCTATCGTCGCTAGAAGTATTGATTATTAATTGGAGTCCATCGCCGACGAATTGATTGCTTAGACTTCTCGACTGTAAAGAAAAACGAATGGCGGAAAACCCAGTCTTACCCCGACTCACCGACGCTACAGAAAAACTGGGTATAGATTAAGAAATTCATTTGTATTTTGTCAATACCCGTAGTTCTGTTGATCAATTCTTATCATTTTTTTGTTTTTTTTCTTTTCGTGCGATTTTCATCGGGAAAGCACATGATTACTGTGTAGTTAAAAGGGTTTTCTAAGGCTTTTGAACATCATCTTCCATTTGATACAACCCTTTGATCTTGTTTGAGGTTCAAAGGAACATTTTGAAAGGAAGAGAAAACGAAGGAATATAAAATAAATTTGCTTATTTTGTTTGGATTTATAATTTCTCTATAATAATTAATTAATAATAACAACTCAAGCCATCTACAAATATGAAATATCAATGAAGATTAGACAAGTTTCAAGTAAAATAAAATGCACATGGCCTCCCACAATCCAACCAAGTTATAAAGGAACAAGTTTGGGGTTTGAAAGCAGAAACAGAGCACGCCCGTCAAGTGAAGGCAAAAGCATTTTCCTTTGCCATCTTTTACTCAATATTTTTATAGGACAATAAGATAAAAAAATTCTTGTAAGTTTTCCTTAATCTTCTCGTTATTAAAATTTTCCACGTAACTTTTCACAACATAGACAAAATAAAATTTTGAGCGTAATATATGTTAAATATTACGTCAATTTGATATCCTTCGAATAGTTTCAGAAGGGATGTCCAAGGTTGGCCCACCCAATCTCGTAAAAGTGATTAAAAAATTTTATATGAAATTCTTTAAGTGAAATTTATAAAATTTAAAAAAAATAATTTAATAAAAATTTTTAAAAAATTTAAATTGATAAATTGATATAATTTAATATAAAAATTAATAAAATATAAAATATTATTAAAAATATTATTTATAATTTAAATTTCATCAATACTTATCTTAAGATAAAATTTATCAATATTTTTATTAAAAATATTTATATAAAAAATATATTAAAATTTTTTTAAATTTTATATATTTGATTTATGTAATAAAATTTTTAATTTTTATTTAATTATTCTTAATTAAAAATTTCATAAATGTCACTTAAAAATTTTTATTTAGATCTTTTCCAAAATGATCTTAAGCTAGGCTTGATTTGATTATTTTATTTTTTTCATTATCAATAAATAATATATTAAGATGATTTTTTTCATTTATTAATAATAAAATAATATATAAATAGATGGATCTAAATAAGTTCGGGCTTGACTTTAGAAACGGCCAGTCCGGTTGGCCGGTCCAAGCCCAACGCAAAAGCTAAAATGATAAATTATCCCTTTTTATCTTTTACATGAAAAAATTATCGATTTTTATATAATTTTAGGATTTTGACATTGTTGTCGCAAATAAAGATGTTCGATGGTTAGGCCACCCACCTAGTCTCATACACGTGACCCAAGTTAGGGCTGTGACTTGAGCATAACTTCTGGATCCTAGGCATAACTCGACGCAAATGTATGAGTTTATTAATAAATAACATATTGATGTAGATTTCTTTAATATTTTAAGAAAAAAATAATATAAATAGACAAATCTAGAAACTGGGACTTGACTTTAGAAATGGTTAATCCAATATGTCGGCCCGGTTTAACTCATTTCGTGAACACCCATCTGAAGTGCAAGCTTAAGAATGAATTCAATGAGGATTTTTGTTTTATTTACATTTTTTATTTATCATTGATCTTTTGGACTTTACAGGAGAAATTAAAGATGAGCAGTAGTTAGTGACATAATAGTAATATAGGTGTTCTTTTTTTTTTTTTTTTGCAGAAATCAAAAGATCCCAAAAAGAAACATCGTTGGTGTTGGAAAAGGAAGGTTCTGGTAATATATAGTTGCATTATTTGATTTGCGAACTTTCTTTGCTTTCTGTCAATGATCAATTTTGCCTTGATCTAATTCCAGTTGCGTTTACTGCGCTAATTATACCATTTAACAATGAAAAGGTTGAAGTGAAGTGCTTAGAAGCAGTGGTAGCTAAGATGAGAGCAGAACTGAACCACATGGAAAGGGCTGAACGGAAAGCCAAGGCAAGGCTGGGAAAGCTTCAGCGGAGAAATGCAAAAACCAGAGAAGCGATCCGTCAAGCAGCAATGAGCAATGCTCGGATCCAACTTTTCATTGATGCTATCCTTCATCATTTGGATGGTAATTGAATTTTGTGTTAATTATTGAATTTTGTGTTAATAGGCCTAGGTCATATTGTTTTATTAACAAGAAGATTTTTAAAAAAATTAAAATTTTTGTGTATGTTTTTTAAAAATTTTTAAAAATTTATATTTATTCATTAATAAAATATCATTAACAATATATTCATAGATAATTTATTAAAAATACATTTTTAATTTAATTTATACATTGACAAAACATTGATTTTATAAAAAAAATTGATTTTATAGACTTGGTTTATTAGTATTTATTAATTACAATTTTAACTCATTATAAGTAAAAAATTTTATTTCAAATATTCAAAAATGGATAAATCTTGTTTTTATTAATAAATTTGATATTGATTAAAATTTTAAAACTATAATTAAATCACATCAAAATTTTGTAGTAGTTTTCATGAAATTTAATTAATTGATTAGAACTGTGCAAAAATGTTTCAATTATATGATTTTACTTTTCATTTTATAATTTGCAGATTAAATATTCTTGATGAACATTGCTTGGTTATAAACGATTGCCGTCCATTGAAGCCGCCCACAGCGATATCTGATTGATTTTTATTTACTCTTTTCTTGAACAGTATTTTTTTTTTGTATTTATTTTTATGTTATTACGTGAGGTGTACTATTACTTTGTTCTTTTCAGATTTCTACAGGGCCGAATTAACTTCTAAATTCTTTCTAATGGAATTATTAACTAATTATAGTTAATTTTGTTAAAAATTATGTTAATCTTTTATTTTTCTCAAATTTTATTTCTATTACTGTTTAATTAATATACCATATAAAACTTAACAATATTAATCAAATAAATCAAATAATTATTTTTTAGTTAATGATAAATTTATTTACCATTTTAATCATTATAATTTATGCTTAATGAAATTTATGAGTTTTATTGTTTAAATTAAAGAATAAGATAATTTTTTAAATATAAAAATAATGCAATAAATTGTATTTATAATTTTCCTTTTAAAATTTAAAAACTCAATCTATAATATACAAAAATATATATGTATGCATACAAATAAATAGGGCTGTAAACGAGCCGAGCCGAGCCGAATAATGAGAAGCTCGAGCTCGAGCTCGACTCACAACTCGGGGCTCGATACTCGACTCGAGCTCGATCGAGTTTCATTTTTCAAGCTCGAACTCGATTCGTGATCGAATTCGAGCTATTCGAGTTTGCTCGATTAAGCTCGATTAATATATAAAAAAAGCTCGATTTTTATACTCGAAAAAAACTCGATTATTCGAGCTCGAGCTCGAGATCTTTTACAACTAATTTTTATCAAACCTAATAAATATTATATTTTCAAGATAACAACAACAACAATAACAACAACAACAATAATAATAATAATAATAATAACTTACACAACAACCAAATTTAAGCAAATAAAAGTCTCATTAAATGATTCAAATACAACACACAAATATAAGACATAATGAAACTTAGAAATTAAAATCCTAATTGAAAGATATTAAATATCCAAGCAAATAAATTCACAAATAAGTTACAACAAACCAACAATAATACATATGCTGCCTTCACAATATTATGTCTTCAAATGAACATTGGGCTCATATTGCTTTTCAATAAACCTATACAAAAGAATAATTACAAAACAAAGAAATTATAATTAACAATAAGAATAACGATAAAAGTACCCATGCAAGAAAAAGATTGTAATATTATTACAATGATCAATAACTTTAAATTTTTAACATTAGCATCAACATGGATTTTATCTTGTCAGTTGTCTTATAATCAGAGCAAAAAAATATAAACAGTATCTTGTCAATTACCTTAACATGAGTTTCTATCATTAGTTAACCTATGGTTCGTAAATTATAATGCAAAAAGCTCAATCTAGACTAGCTACTACCTATTTTTCTTTAGTAATGTTGTGACAAATTAAAAGTATTTAATAATAATATTTCATACATGTATAGAAGACATTAGATATACTCACTTTAGGGGATTTTGAGTGCAATCTCAATTGATTTCTTTTCTTTCTACATAGATAAAGTAAAGGAAAATAATAGTTAAAAATTAGATTAAAGCAATGATAGTCACCTAATAACAAAATAATAATAAAAAAAACTCACTTTGTTCTTCTTCTTCACTCCATGAAGATTCCGACACCAATCTCCTCCACAAAGTAATGCTTGCACTGTGTCAGGAGATAAAAAAGCACGATAAGTATCAATAACTCTATCTCCTGCACTAAAAGTAGCTTCTGAAGCCACTGTAGTGATAGGAATAGCAAGTATATCCCGAGCCATCTTGGATAAAATACGATACTTCAAAGTGCTCGCTTTCCACCATTCCAAAGCATGAAACTTAGTGGAATCTTTTTCACAGATAAAACAACCCTCAGTTAGGTAGACATCTAAATCAGATTGTTGTGGTTGATTTTACATAATTTGCAAATTCAAACCAACAAGAAGAAGAAGCTTCTATATTCATACCACTAATACCATTATCATGCACTTGAGTTTCAGCACTATGCTCATTGCCAAATTGATACTCACGAGCATATTCATCATAAATCTCATAAAGGGCATCTCGAACTTTAGCAATATTTTCTTTTGCTTCTCTATCAGGGTACATTCGAGGAAAAAAAAACTCAATCACCCTCATTTTGCACCTTGGATCCAAGATTGCTGCTATAGACATCAACAAATTACATTCTCCCCAATACTTATCAAATTTACTCTTCATCTTACGAACCATTGCTTGAACAAATTCATTTTCATCATTCATCCTTTTATCCAACAACACTTTCACACGATAAACTTCATTCAGAAACAGGTTTGAAGTTGGATAATCACTTCCAGAGATGATTTTAGTGGCTGAATTAAAAACTTCTAAAATCTCACAAACTTTCTTCACATTTTCCCAATCTTCATGACTTGGACAACATTCATAATGAGATTCTCGCTCTTTGAGTCTTGAAAACACTTCTTTGAATTTGATTGCAATCGACAACATCTCGAATGTCGAATTCCAACGTGTTTTACAATCGAGAATGAGTTTCCTATCAGGTAACTGTAACTGCTGTACTATATCAAAAAATGAGTTAAGTCTTTTATTTTGATTAATAAAATTGACACTTTCATGAACATCACCAATCACATTCCTAATCTCAGAAAAGCCATCTTGAACCATGAGATTTAAGATATGTGCACAACACCGAACATGAAATAATTTTCCTCCACAAAGCAACATCCTATTTCTTGAAAAAGTGTCTTTAAGAATTCTAATCGCCACATCATTGTTTGAAGCATTGTCCACAGAAAGTGTAAACACCTTGTTTTCAATTCCCCATTCCTTTAGACACTTAAAAATACAATCAACAATCTCAACACCGTGACGAGGAGGAAGTATGTGAACAAAGCTAATAACACGCTTTTGCAATCTCCAACTAGAATCTACAAAGTGTGCTGTAAGAACCATGTACTCAATCTTTTAATTACTTGATTTCCATAAATCTGTTGTCAAACTAATCTTGCTGACAGTCTTCAACAATGCCTTTAATTTCTTCTTTTCTGCTTCATAAACTTGCATGCAATCCTTTTTAATAGTATTACGTGATACATTTTCCCATTCAGGCATCCCACGTTTTTGCATCACGTTAAAACCTTCCTCTTCTATAATCAAAAAAGGATGCTCGTGCATAAGTATCCAATGTGCAGCTGTTTCTCTCATCTTTACCATATCAAACTTGCCATCTGTGAGAGCAGGTAGTATCTGTACATCACCACATGTGTTTACTGGCTGAAAGTTGATCATTTGTTGTTGATTCTGAAAAATTTTTCTCTTAACACAAGTTATCAAATGCCTCTTAAATTGAGTTGTACTTTTACTTGTATTTATTGCTAGCTTTTTCTTGCAATGGACACACTCTCATTTTTTGGAACCATAAAAAAGAGTGACTTCTTTGAACTCTAACCAAACAGCAGATGTCTTTTGTCTCTTTTTCTCATTACTTTTTTCACACTCTTCAGGGTCAGCATTATCACATTCTCTATCATTGGCATCAATGACTGGTGTTTTATCTGTGTTACCATTAGTGGCATCTAAAGCTTCATTCATTGAATCATTACCATCATCTGACATAATTCGACTAGTAAAAGAATTTATTATCGGTTGAACTGGTATAGAGAGATATCCCGGTGTGGTTGATGAACATGTTTAGTTCCTATAGCAAAAAAAAACACAAAGATAAATCAAAACAATAATATAAATTTTAAGGAATCAAAACAATAATGCAAACAAGTTGTTAGAAACATGTGCGGCTAAATTTATTGCCAGAAACATGCTAAAACAAGTTGCGAGGAACAAAATTATTGGAAGAGTATAAATTTTATTCTTTGGGAAATATACCTATATTGTAGGAATTTTAATAAATTTAAGATTACCTACTTCAATAATATTTCAATTTCCTAAAATCATTTCTTAAAATGAATATTTCTTATTAATTTTTACAATTATACATGCCTATTTAGTATTTATATAACATTAACTCAATCTCATTAGAAATAAATGTTAGGTTATATTCTAACAAATCTAATATGCATAAAGAAGAAAAGTATTCACATTAAACAGTCCCCAATAAATTAGTGATGAACTATATGGAAGCTCAAATTATGATTATGACTAAAAAGAATAGAGCCAATGACCTTTTTTTTTTGTTAAATAATATGAACCATCCAAAAGTTTTTCTACTGATAAAGCGTATTGTGCAAGTCTTGAAGTGGCCCAAATTCAATTACTTTCTTGCTAATAATATAGAGACTTTTGGTTTGCAAAATTCAGTATTTAAATGCAACTTCACAAAGAACATACTGCTTTTCACAAGTTTGCAACAAAAATAAAAGTATAATATGATAGTGTTTGACAAACAAATCAGAATTGAGAATATCAATACTAACAAATAGCTATAACACCTTGCCCCCTTTCATTGTTGTTCTCGATCTGCATCCCCAGAATATTCATAAGGGTATTTAATTTAGGCATTCATAAAGGTATTTAATTAAGGCATTCTTATTTAAACACCTTTTAGCATGAATTGGAAGCCTAACATAAAAACATTTAATAAAAAAATGGCACTCAAAAAGTATGTCATGGAGAAAAGGCTACGTTGAGGGATCGGGTTCTGTTCAAGCTACTGCAAACGTCGAATGGGTGGAACGAGCTTACCTTTTAGAGAGAGGAGAAAGGGCTACGTTGAGGGATCGGGTTCTGTTCAAGATCGGGTTCTGTTCAAGCTACTGCAAACATCGAATGGGTGGAACGAGCAGGGCTTCGTTGAGGGATCGGGTTCTGTTCAAGCTACTGCAAACGTCGAATGGGTGCTACTGCAAACGTTGAATGGGTGGAACGAGCAGGGCTTCGTTGAGGGATCGGGTTCTGTTGAAGCTACTGCAAACGTCGAATGGGTGCTACTGTAAACGTCGAATGGGTGGAACGAGCAGGGCTTCGTTGAGGGATCGGGTTCTGTTCAAGATCAGGTTATGTTGAAGCTGCTACAAACGTCGAATGGGTGCTACTGCAAACGTCGAATGGGTGGAACGAGCAGGGCTTCGTTGAGGATCGGGTTCTGTTCAAGATCGGGTTCTGTTGAAGCTGCTGCAAACGTCGAATGGGTGCTACTGCAAACGTCGAATGGGTGGAACGAGCAGGGCTTCGTTGAGGGATCGGGTTCTGTTCAAGATCAGGTTCTGTTGAAGCTGCTGCAAACGTCGAATGGGTTCTGTTGAAGCTGTTGCAAACGTCGAATAGGTTCTGTTCAAATCGGGTTCTGTTCAAGCTTTTTAGAGAGAGGAGAAAGGGCTTTCGAAAGGGTGGAACAAGCTTGGAAGACAATGGAGTGGGATTCGAGAAGAAAAGATGCCGTAAGTAAGGCTATTGGTGAGTGAGAGAGACGGGGAGAAAGACTGAAGGAGAAGAGAGAAAGAAAGAAAATAAAATTTTAGGATTTTTTAAGCTAAAGGTAAAAAAGTAATTTTATAAATAAAATAATAAAAATAAATATATAAAATATAAAATCAATTTTAACGATGAAAAGAAACTTGACTGGACTGCTCCATTATTTGCACCTCTAATTGAAAGTATATAATAACAGCATTTTTGCGTTTATAAATTCGCATCATAATTGCTTCATTAATAAAGAATTTCTCAAAAATTAAAGAATGATGTGACATGACTTTTAAATCCGCACTCAGCTCAGTCGACCGACCCATGCCACTTTCCAACGTAAAGCGCACGATCCTCGCGAGTCGCAATTGTCGGTTGTGCGACAAACTTTTCGAAAAAGACAAGTAGAAAAATCTTATTGCTTTCCTACCACGAAACAAAGTCCTCTCCGAAACAGAACTGTTTTTAAACTTGTGTGATTTCTTTGAGCATGAAGAATCCCTCGTTGTGCAGAGCTGGTAATAGAAATGAATATCAAGGAACAGTCAAAAATTTGCCCAAACAGGGGAGTGAGTGGTCTAGCGGTAGAGTACTATGAGTGCTCGAAAGGGAAGTTTCATGGAAGCCAATGTTGAAAAAGAAAACTCGATATCTTCTCACTCTGCTCCCAGACTACTCACTTCTCTGATTTGGGCGATTTTATTTCCGTCCATCACAGGCTGTTCCATGTGGTTCATAATTTCTGATGCCAGCTATGCTTGAAACTCCTTTCCCTTCTACTTTTTAATCAGAGTTGAAAGCAGTCAAGGCAGTGCGGATAGATGTATAAATCAAAACCCAGAAAAATACCATCGACTGAATGCCAAGGATTTGCCAGGACAATTGAAGCACCTCGTCAAACCTAGGCTGTTTCTTCAACTTTCTCGAGCTCCAAACAGGTAAGAGAAAAAATTCGCTCTAGTCTCATATTTCTCTGTTCTCAGGATCCTGTTGGTGTTCATGGAAAGTTTGAGGAAAAGAAAAATACGGGGAAGATTGACAGGAAAAGAAAATGAAAGAAGACAAGAAAAATATAATAAAATATGTTTAAAAAACAAAAAAAAAAAAAGAAAATTCAAAGGGTGAGACTACAGGTGTAATCTAACCAAATCAGTGGATCTATTGCTGAGCTCAAACTCAGTTTGATTTGGGAACTACAGTTTTATTTTTTATATTTGATACTGTTCATAATTTATTTAAGCAGCTCGAACTTGATAAGCATAATTGGTAAAATTGTAAATGCATATTTTAAAGATAAAGATTTAATCTTGAGACTCGAAACTTGATTTTTACTTGATTGGATTGCATTTTTTATATTTGAGTTATGCTCATAATTTACTTAAGCAGCTGTAGCTCGATAAGCACAATTGGTAAAATAGTAAATATTTAGGTTACACATTCTATTTTTCACTTATACATACATATTTTAAAACTAAAGATTCAATTAAACTTCCGAATCTCTTAAGTTTGGTATTAAATTAAAGTTGTTAATATTGAATCGAATAATATTTTATATTTTTTAAAAAATACGGTTAGATTTTTTAAAAAATATGGTATATTCATATATCAATTGTATTGATATATTATTTCAAAATTTTGAATTTAATATAAATATATTTATAAACATATATAAATTTATATATTATAATATTATTAATAGTTTATAAAATAAATATACAATATATTAAAAAATATTATAAAAATAATATTATAAATATTTTATGATATTTTTAAATATTTAATTTAATGATATGATATTTAAATAAATATTTTTTTATAAATATTAAGATAAAAATAAAAAATAAAAAATTAATTAAGGTTTTATGATTTATAAACTTTATAAAATGAATATACTTGTTTTCTTAAAAAAATTTAAAATTTTTATAAATTTTGATTTTAAAAAATAAAGTAAAAAAAATAAAAATAAAAATAAAAAATTTAATTTTTAAGTGGTATTTTATTAATTAATTTTATTTTTATTAAGTTAAAAAAAATTAAATAATAAAAAATAAGTTAAAAATTATAAAATATATTTCATATTTATGTATTGATCAAACCGTATTATTTTATCAAAAATTATTTAAATAAGTTGAAATTAATAAAAACAGTATTATTCAATATTAAATTGGATATAAAAAATTATTTTTAGATAAATTGTATTTTAATATAATTGAAATATATCAATCGTGCCAAATTCTTTTCGATTTAAAACTTGATTGATTTAAACTTGTGTTCCAATTCAATAAAGAATGACTCAAACTCATGTATTTATTGGAACGTCCTCCATATTTCATAAATAACTTAACTTGGATACACACATAAAGGCACTATCTAAAAAATTTTTTAAGTCACATAAATATATATATTAGGTTTAACAGAATCTTAGCTCAATGATTAATTTTCAATACTTTTATTCATAAAAATAAAATTAAATACCATCTTCAATAATTAAACTTCATAAATTGAAATTAAGTTAATTTATCCCTTAAACGAAATTG